AATTTTGTATTCAATCATAGAAAGTGCTAGAAGTAATAACAGAACAAGATTTAACCAGTTTGCTAATTCTTTCTATCTCACTTAGGTACTGTTCTAGTTGAAGACTTAGTGCCCCCAAAAATTGAGACCAAAAGAACAAAGAAAAAACATAGATTGAAATATTTCTCTCTTCAATTGCTTTCTTCAACAGCAGTAGCAGCAACAATATTATCAATAACAATAGACAGCATTTATTGGGACCTTATGAAGTGCCAGGCACTGTGCCTCATCAGCACTTTACTATTAATACTTCAGCTCACTTCAATAGCATAAGGTAGGATCTATTGTTACTTGATTATACAGATTCAGGAACAAAGGTTACAGTTTGTGGGACTTGTGGTCAAACTAATGAGCTGATGGAACTAGAGCTGAGATTCAAACCTAAGCCTGTTTTGTCGCAGAGCCTGAACTCAGCCACTGCATCATTTTTTGAGAATTATAAACATCATGCTGACTATTATTCAGAATCTGTTCTTGTTAAAATTCTTCTTTCCTATCTTTATCTTATTGGGTCCTCACAACAACCCTGTCAAGCAGGTATGTTCATCCCCATACAGTGGATGAGGATGCCAAGGGTCATAGGACTGAATGTCACTCACATGATACACATATTGGCATTTGATTTCCAACAAAAAGATATTGGAAAATGAAAACTGCTCTTTTTTCAAACAAATCTCCATTTCTTTTCTCCACCTCCCTCCTGAAAAAGAAAATGCACACACTCCACATACACACAGAGAACATTATTTTGGATAAATTTTTATAAAGCTATACATTGTAATTATGTAAATGAGATTGTCATCAACTTTAATCATGCTAAAAATGCTCATCTTTTTTTATAAGAAAAAGAGGAATAAATACTCATTAACACTAAAGGCCTCAAGAACTTAAATTAAATTTTACTTTGAGATAGAAAATTGGTATAAAAAGAAGCCTGAATTAGTTATCCCCATCCACCCTTCCCACCCTCTTGCATTAAAAGATAATTTATACAAGTAATCATCTTTGAAGCCAAAATTGATTTTTAAGGAAACCTCAATCATTTACCCTTTAGACTTTCAAAAGCATCAAGCCATTCCATATACATAGCTAAGTGTTAACTTTCTTCTTTGCCTAGAAATCCCTCATTTCACCCTCTGAGGTCTCTGGAGAATGGAGGGGGTAGAATGGTTACAGGAAATGATTATTCTTTGTGTATTAATTTATGTGCATTTTTGTGTGTGCATAGAGTTACATGCAAATATAAATATATGTATATGTACAGACATATACATATACATGCATCTTGTATGTTGTGACAATTAAATAAAATAAAGCATGCCTTGTAAGATTCTGATCATACCAAATACTCAAAAATTTAGCTCCCTCCATGCAACTCAGGCCAACCTGCAAATACTTTCAGCTTGTAAGTATATTTGTTCCATTTAAAATAATTGAATAATTCTTTAGAACTGTGGGCCAGGCATTGGTAAAACTAATAATTTACAAAAATGCATTTGGTTAACTCCTCTGTTAGTAGTGGCATCAGTTTCTTTCACCTAATTAAGTCCAAGTGTGCCTGTTCTACCCTTTGACCTCCTACTATCATGTCCAGGAAAACTCAGAGGTGCTTATCACCACTATGAACAATAGCAGAGCAAGTAATACCAACTATGATAAACTGATAGTTCTGATGATGGCATTGGGTCTGGGGAATAATGAGTAACTTGCTCAAAGTTACTCTTTCAGTGAATTTAAGAGTCTGGATTTTGATCCAGGACTTTCTGACTTTTCAAACTTCCCTTAGCCCTCATATTAAGTCACTTCCTTGTGTTTTGGATCTTCCATTTTCCACCCATTCCCCACCCATCCACACCTATTCTATTCCAAGAAAGCTGACCCAGTGTGTGACAGCCAAAAATCCCCTTACCCAGTGCTTCCTGCCAAACCCAGCCCATGATAAGCACCAGAAGAAGAGCAGAGAGCAAGAGGAGAGAGAGGGCAGCACTTTTATTCTCCTGGCTCTTCCATATGATATAGGCTTGTGGTGTTCTGCCAGATGGCACTTTTCTCCCAGCCTTCTCTGTCTCTAGTTCTTGAAAATCATGCTTTTCCTTGCCCTTCCAGGCTTGCAATTGTCACTAGTTCCAGGGTTCTTCACTGTCCTCTGTGGTTTCTTCCATCTGCCCATATCTTTGAAAATGGTCCTCTTATCATTACTGTTTATTTATTCCAGTTGAGGGTGTCATCTGTTTCCTACTAGGACCTCAATAATGGATGTGTATCCCCATCTTTCTACAATTCTGAGCACAGTTCTTTCCTTTTAAAGTACTTACCATTTTTAGTAATTGCAAACTAGAGCAGAGAAACATATATATTTACTATTAATAGTTGATTGGTTTACTATTTAGTCTGTGTTAGAACAGTGACTATGCCGTTTTTGCTCCACCTTGTATCCTTGGTGCCTAGCAGAATGCCTGGTGCTCAGATACTACCCCAAAATATTCACCGACTGAATGAATGCTTCAAGGAAAGGGGTGAGTGGCTTATAAGACATTTCTGCAACTTATTGTTTGTCTCTCAGAAGATAAGAGAGAGAAACAGAAAGAGACAGCGAGAGAGAGATGGATTAGAACACCAGCCCAAAGGCACTTGTGCAGTTTCTTCACTTAAATGCATGAGTTAACAAGTATTCTGGACACTTAGCAAAATTAGTAGCATATAAACAGGCAAGCCAGGCCAGAAATATAAGCTCTAAAATCATACAGCTGTTTTTCTGCTAAAAGTAGTTGAGTATTGTGAAAGCAATGAAGGGCTGAGAAAATACCAGGCCAATGGTCTGAAATGTCATGCATCTATGAGGTTTTGATGAAATTTAGACAGTGTCCCTTTAAAAAGATCTATGAAGACATGCGAAAAGAATAAAAATCATATCACAACAATAATCTAAGATTACCAAATAGGAAACTACATTCCAGAATGAATTCAAAAATATATCTATTGATGGAATAGGGAGAAGGTACATTATGTTTTATGCAACAAAACTAATCATTTTCAAATATTAAAAAGTAGCAAGATACAATATTTTATATCTCAATTTTTCAGGCCTTCACTAAGTCTAGGGCCTGTACCAAACAGATTACTGGACAATTCTTTCTAGTATTTAAAATCTAAATTTTACAAAAATCAACTTGTATCTTCATTAAAATAATAATAACCTTAGTAAAATAGTCATAGAGAAATAGCTTCTCAATGAAAAAAATCTCTCTCAAAACAATAATTACGATTACCTTTATAGTATGATAGTAAAAGTAGCCTTATTAAAATCAGGAGCAATACTAAAATTTAATGATACTATTATTCAACATTGTTCTTGAGGTTATGTCCAATACTTAACAAAAACAAAAATATACCAAAATAAAAAGGATACAATTTGGAAAGGAGGAGACAAAATCATTATTCCTTACAGAGGTTATGCCATATCTCATGGGAAAATTCTGGAGCGTGAACTAAAAGTCTATTTAAATGCAAGTTCATTAGAGTGGCCAGTTACAAAATAAGTACACAAAATAAATAGAAGCTTTCAGGGCTTTGCTGGAAGAAGAAAAAGAAAAGAAAGAAAAAAGGAATGAGTATATTTAAGGGATGTTGGAGATTAAAATGTAATGTTATAGTGACATTAATTCTACCTTATTTTAATTAATCTATAAATATTTTCAATTAAAATAATGGTTAGAAGTTGTTTTTAGTGAATTTGTTTTTGTTATGGTTATTAAACTCCTGAAACACCTGTGCCTTACACTGAAGTCTTCCCTTCACCTTAAAAATACAAAAAGTCTCAGATGGCTGAAATTTCAGAAAGCAAGGTGAGCTGATTTGCTAGCATTCTGCTGCTGTGAATCACTAGTGGGCTGATGCCACCTTGGGTGTCACATTTTTGGATTCCATAGTCACATCTGTTGGCAAGGCATTAGGGGAAGAGCAAGAATGTCGTTCTTCAAATGGCAGTGTTTTGAGTTTCCACTCCATGCTCTCCATGCTTCTAAGGGTGCATCCCTTGGTAAAGACATGTCAGTAAATGAGGTTGGATGTGAACATAGGGCAGACTGACATGAGGAACAGCATGCACATAAGCAGACACGTGTGTCTCCACCACATCCTTGGTACTTTTAAAGGCTGGCAGGCTCATTTTCTTTCCACCAAAGGAGATAGAAATCTCTTTCACATGAAAGGAAACAAATAATTTTGTTTTGTTTGTCTTCTCCTGCCTTTCCTCCTCTTCCTACATGAAATGAATGGCCCCCAGAAACTTGTAGAATCCAAGACTTAGTTGGAACTTTAAGGATAAGATTTTATCCTATCTGATGCCTCTTACAAATATCCATAAGTCAATAAATAACTTTGTATCCTACACACCTCCAGTCAATGAATGTGTTAAGAAGAGGTGCTTGATCATAGCCCTAGAATCAAACGGATTTGGGCTAAATTCCAATGCTGCCATATTTTGGCTGTGTGAACACAAGCACAATCCATAGTAAGCATTTTCTTTTCCCGCCACAGTTCTTATTTGTAAAATAAAGGTAACAGTATTGCTTACCTCAGGGGATTGTTGGCTGGATTAAACACAATAATGTATGCAAAGTGCTTAGGACTTTATAATAAATATTACTTATCTACTTTAGTAATTAAGTTGTTAAAAATAAATAACTCTTGGTAATCTATTCTATAAAATAAATGCTTCTTCTGGCTGATATTACTTTGAATATCTTTGGCTATAAATATTAAAAAAAAATGAAGGATCATTTAAAATTTCAGAGTGGATTATTTAATTTATATATCTGGAGTGAGATTAGTTATAATTTGGTCAAAGTTGTGATTGATTTACCTTTATTTATTTATTTATTTTTAGTATCATTTTCTTAGTTCAACTTGCTTCTGTTTTTTCTGCTGAATGCTCAGAGAGGAACTTACCTCATGACTGAAAAATAGCTGAAGAAGCCCTAAACTTCTGTTTGTGTTCTTTAGTGTCCAAAAGGGGATCACTGTTTAAGACTCTGAGGCAAAATGTTGGCTTTCCCTGTAATTGAACAACCATTAAAATTATACAGTGTGTCTAGAGGAAGCCCTGGTAGCAGTTGGCTTAAGTCTAGATGACCTGAACCAAAAACTGTAGCAAGTAGGAGACAATTAACCCATTTATTCTAGTCAGGGCCCTTGCCCTAGGACTGGAGGTAAGTTCATGGGAACTTCAAATTCTCTGTTCAAGGACAGTTGGGAGGGGATGGAGGACTTTGGAAATACAGGTATGTGAATGAAGCATCGTGAAAACAATATTATTCAAATAGATTGCATATTTCCTGTGAGAGTTTTTAAGGCTTCCTCCCTGAGTTCCCACATTTGTCAGCACAGCACCCACTTTTAGCTTGATATCTGGAGTTCCAATCATGCTGAAGCCTATACCCAAGCTCAATGACTAATGAATGAACTGCAAGATCTTCATCAAATCACATCTGCTCCTTGGGCCTCCTTAATAAAGGGGCCTGGATTAGATGAACTCCTTTACGGTTGGCCTCCTTAATAAAAGGGGCTGGATTAGGTGAACTCAAAATTCCCAATAGTTCAATGGACTTCTGTGAACACAATACGTTTCCTTTATAAAGGTGGAAAATGGCTGTTAAGCAATCCCTCGACTTCTCTTCTGAAAATTACACAAAATAACCCAAGCTCCTTTTATCTTTCCTCACCAGCATTATTTCCTATGCCTTTAATCTTTTTGTTGATATTCTATAAAGTGGCTACAATTTCTCCACATCCCATTCTCTGTATGAAACTTCTAACTGGAAAAAATATCTGTAGAGAAATAAACAATGTCTCCTAAGTAAGGTCTCTATTCCAAGAAATCTGTGAATTTTGCCTGCATGCTCAGCAATATTTTGTCATTGCAAATTCCCATCTTAGACAATTTTGGCAGTTGTTTAAAATATATTTCTTTTTTGTTTACACTTATTTTTGCTATATGATTTAAATACAATGTTATTTACAGTTCTTATTATACATTCAGTAAATTTTCGTATGTATCCACCTGTGTATCCAAAACTCTTCTTATCATAAATCAGAACTTTAACCTCACCCAAGAATATTTTTCATGTTTCTTGCAAGTCATTCATCAATCCCATGCCACAGAAGGAACCGATATCTTGATTCTTTTTCCCACCATAGATTAAATTTGACTGTTCTAGAACCAAATTCATGCAATATGTGTTCTTTTGCATGGAAAAACTATCTTTCCTTATAGTTGAAATTCAATTGACTATGTTAGTCCATGCCAATTTCTGGATTCTCTACTCTGTTTTATAGATCTATGTGCTTATTGTTTGGCCAATACTATATTGTCTTGATTTCCATAGCTTTATAGTAAGTCTTGAAATCAGTTAGTTGACCTTACCTGCTTCAATATTCTTTTCAAGTTTGTTTTAGCTCTTTGAGTTCCTTTGCCTTCCTGCATGAATTTTGCAATAAACTTGTTGATACCTACAAAGAAAATTCTGGTTGGCATTACTTTGAATCTGTCGATAAATTTTCAAAGAATTGACATCTTTACAGTACATTCAAATTTAATCTTTCATTATTAAACAAAATAGTTTATAGTTCTTATAGTTTCTCTACTGGTTTTGTTGTACAAAGAGGAAAGCCAGGATTTAATATAGTAGCACTAGCCTTTGAAAAAGAGGAGAAAAGCAAATCCAGAAGTCTTGAGGACTCTGCAACTATGGATAAGAAATTTAAAAAATAATTTTCAATAAACAAAACAGTAATTTTCAAGATTCAGCTATTGGTGGGTTGATTGACACCAAAAATAAAACAAGGATGCTAAAGAGGATCATTAGAAAACATTTTTATGTCAATACTCAAATTGATCAAGCATAGTAAAGAGAAAATGTGGTAATATAAGGTATCTGAAAGCTATGCAGTAATAAGATGACAGGGCTTTGGTCTATTTAACTCATTTTATCTTCTATACTTACTAAAAAGAGAAACCTTAAATGAGACCAACACTCCCAACAGTTGAAACACATTTGCAGGAGATCACAGAAGTAAGGGGTTACATATAACAAGCACATTTCTGATTTGTATTGAATCTCTTTGTTCCAGAGTAGCTAAGTTACTGGGGTTGTCAGTAAGTGCTGCATATGTCCAAGGAGAGAATGAAAAGTTTCAAAATAAGAGATGACGGACGGAGACAAATTTAAGTTAGGTACTAAATAAGAGTTACATTTTAGATTTTTGGAGAAATTGGGAAAAGTTAAAATAATGCTAAAGATGCTTCTCTGTTTTCCTCCCTTTATTCCTTAACCCTGCCCCCACTGTATCTCACTTCTTTCATTCTGATGATAAACATCAAGTCTCATCAGTGGGCCAGTCTCTGTGCTATGCTTCCCTTTCTGACTCCTTTTTCCTGTCAATAGGTCTCAGCTAAACAACACTGCTTCAGTGAAGTCATGGCTCACCTAAAGAAAATCCTTTACTGTTACTCTTTAGACCAGTCACTTATTCCTAGTTTGTCTCCATCACTACACTTGCTAATATTTTAGTTTTTTCCTTTCTGGTAAAGTGAACACCTTTGTACCCCACTACTTCATGGGATTAATGAATTAATAAACAGATGTTTCCTTTAACTATCTTGCAAATTCTTAGAAAGAGGAGACCTTAAATCTATCTTTCAGCCTTAATAATCTGCTCTCAAGAGATATATCTTTAACAATATTTAATATGTGAAGTGTTACAGAGGTAAATATGGAATTTCACGTAAGGGAGGTGGTGTTATCTTGGTAGGAGTTCTCCAATATCCCCAAGAGTACAGAAGGGTTTCAAAGAGGCAATAACCTATATGCTGAGTCTCCAAGAAAATAGGAGGCATTGGCTTGGCAGATAAAGGGATTCAGACAACTTTACCTATTTTGTTGTAAAACTTAAATCCAGTAATTTATTCACTTATTTGATAAGCACATATCAAGACACAATGTCAGTATTATTCTAGGCACTTGTGATAGATACATAGAAATTAGCAGCAGACATAATATCTGCTGTCATTAATCTTAAAGTAAAAAACAAAAAGACATAGCACTCAAGTGTTATATTTTTTGCATTAAGCATTTTTCTATATTTTCTCATTTAGTTCTCAGAACAACCTTATGTGGGATAGTTACTATCATTAATCCCATTTTATAATGACAAAATTCAAGCAAAAAGAAATTAAGGAATTACCCAAGATGACAAATCCCTATACCACACCACGTAAGTGAAACTAGGATCCACACTCACACTAATTTCAGAGCTGGAGCATGTGAATCATGGTGAATATAAAGTAAATTGTATGTGCCCTGAAAATATGTACCTCTAATATGTATCAATAAAAATAGATGAATACAATTAAATAAAATAATAAAGGCAATTGTAGCAAAGATATAAGAGATAAAGGACAAATTGACATGAGATTAGGTTTGAGGGGTAGACAGGAACGAGCTTGTTGTGGTCTTGTGGGTCTTGTTAAGGAGTTTTTTTTCTTTTCAGCACAATGGGAAGGGTTTATGCAGTTGTGGATGAGGGTTGTCAGGGTGACATGAAAAGATTAAAGATCATCCAGAGGGTTGTGATAAAACCAATAAGGAAGGTATTACATTAGTCTAGATAACAAATGATGGTGGTTTGGAATAAGATGGCAGCTGAGGTTGAGGCAAAGATAAGTGGATGGATCGGAGAGCTCCTTAGGAAGGAATCTAAAAATCTATATATTAATGGGATAGAGTATAAGAAGCCCAGAGTACAGTAGCAGTAGAGTACTGACTGAGAGATATCACCCTATGTGAATATGAGCAAGGGAATGATAAGGAATAAATCTGGAAAGTAAGATAGGATAGTATACACCTTGTTGTAGCAGACTGGTGTGGAGGTAAGGGTAGTGAGATGGCCAGAGCTTTGAGTTTGAATCTCTGGTCTGCAGTTAACTTTCTGGGTAACTGTGGGCAAATTATTTTTATATACTGGAACTCCATTTCTCATGCAGCAACTCAGTACCTAACTGACCAAGAACTCATGCAGGTTTGAGATGAAGTAACATTGTATGTGTGAGAAGGTTACAAAGTTTCATACATGTGGAAAGAGGAAATTCTACTATTATAGTTATCAGTTTGGCATATTGAAGTGCTTTGTTCCCCACAATCCATCCCAAATACTGAAAACACCCAAATATGTAAAGTTAAGACATGGTTTGACCTTTGAGACTAAAACAGATAATTTATTTACTAATTGCTTGTTAGTCTAGAAAGAAAAGGTAGAGCCCTGTTGTATTTCCCCTATCAGACTATGCTCTTGGAGTTTACATTATATTCTCTGAAAGAAGATCCAGAAAACACAGGAGGGGAAGAGTACCTCTTACTAGTATCTAAGAAATTGGAATAGATAGACAATTGGGTATTATATATGATGCATAAACACAAAATACTTCTTTTCATTTTAAATTATAGAACCTAGTTTCAGACTAGGCACTGGGAGATCCAGATCATAATATAGTAAAAAAAAAAAAATCTTGACAATTAATTAGGCTGACCATTCATGATAACATTGGAAGCATTTGAAAAATTTAGAAGCAATATTATCTAGATACTAAGAAATAGGGAGATATCAGATGTAATTCAGTTTATATGTGATTCTGTGGTTAATATCTTTCTAAAATTCCTCATTTCTTGCAAAGACAACTTTCCCAAAGTTTCTTTGTTAAACCAAAGGGAGCAGGTGATGAATTATATTAGACCGAGTCATGGAAATTGGTATTGAGTTAAAGAACATGAAAGAGGTAAATAAAGTTTTCAAGGGCAACATACATAGTGGATCTAAGGTGTGTAGTGGATTTTCTAAGGCAGAAGTAGTTCCCAATCTTTTTGGCACCAGGGACCAGTTTCATGGAAGATAATTTTTCCACAGAAAGGTATGTGTGTGTGTGGGGGGGGGGTTCAGGATGATTCAAATGCATTACATTTATTGTGCAGCCAAACCCCTCTGCTAATGATAATCTGTATTTGCAGCTGCTCCCCAGTGTTAGCATCACCACCTCAGCTCCACCTCAGATCATAGGGCATTGGATTCTCATAAGGAGTGTGTAACCTAGATCCCTCACATGCACAATTTACAGTAGGGTCTGCGCTCCTATGATCTGACAGGAGGCAGAGCTCAGGTGATGTGTGAGTGATGGGGAGCAGCTGTAAATACAGATGAAGCTTCACTCACTCCCCTGATGCTCACCTCCTGCTGTGCAGCCTGGTTCCTAACATGCCACAGACTGGTACTGTGGGGCTGGTTGGAGACTGCAGTTCTAAGGAAAAGAAAGTAACACAGGATGCAATATTTTTCCCTATTGTTCTAGATCTCTTGAGTCAGAAAGAAATTTTAATCCCTTTGTTAATCCAGGTAGCTAAGATCATTATAATAGATCAATATAACTTTTGAGCATCCCAGTATTTCTTGCAGAGAACTAGCCTTGCTTTTACAAATCGATATACAGATTTTAAAAGTTAACATTTTATAGTTTGGGATCACATGGCTTTTGTTTTTAATTTATCAAAATATAAAAACTGTTGAAAGTATCAAGATGAATGGATGAGTATAAATAACTCTTCAAAACCTTATAATTATAGGTACACGTGTCTTTTTTTTTCCCTGAAGTATAGCACCATCAGAACACAAGAAATCCCTAAAAGAGGCAGATATAAAGCACAGTGGTTGTTCAGAGGAGGGAAATATCAAATCATAAAAACTATAAAAAAAAGTTTCATCAGTTCTGTGAATTAAGCATTGGGTTGGGGAGTGTGGGGGGCAGGGAGACTGTTCCAGAGACAAAGAACTGCATAAATAAGGAACTAGAGGGAAAAAAGTGCTGAGCATGATGGAAGAATAGTTGGATTGATCCAATCCTGTTTATCTTTGTAGCATTTTTGGTCAGGAAGTATTACAATATAAATCAGCATAGATCTTTATGTATGGCTATCCAAGATACAGGAAAAAGCAAACTGTTTTCTCTCTAGTAACACATACCACACAGCACAGAATGCTTCTGTAACCAGCTGTGTGTGTATGCATGCATGTGTATGTTTTCCTCATATACTACGCAATTCTCCTGCAGCAGACACCAACTGGGTATCCTGTAATTTAGCTCAATTCTGACGGTATCTACCTGAAGATAGCATCAGATTCCACACATTGAGGGCTCAGTCACACAAGAATGTCTCCCACTTTAGATGCCAATCACAAGCCCCAGGTTATGATCTATGCTTCTGACCAAATTAGCTATAAATTGGAGTTCCCACAACCCCTCCTTGAGTTCAATTAATTTGCTAGAGTGGCTCACAGAGGTCACAGAATCCCTTTACTTACATTTACCTATGTGTTAAAAAGGCTATTTTAAAAGATAAAAATGAATATCCAGATGAAGAGATACACAGGGTCAGGTCTAGAAGGGTCAAGGGAGGCAGTTACAA